CTTCATTCAATATGTAATTTGGCCTCAATATCAAAATATCACTTTTATTCCTTCATGGCTTCTTCTCATGAAATAAAAGTATACTTATCACAAATGGGATTTATGGTTGATACTACTATCATGCCATCATATTCATAACATTTAGACATACACCATTTATTCAATAAATTTGTATATTATGCAAACTATACTTATAATCAATAGTAATTTCATTTTGGCATTATTAACCATTAGTAATCCATGCAAATCACATTGTATATTCATTTAGGGAATCTCATGAAATTAACCCAAAGATTATGAGCAATATAGTCGGTCATCCTCACCTTAAGTGAGCTCACGCGCGTTCTACGCTCCCCGATTGAACTTTGACTAATCCCGGCGAACTTTGACCAACTCCGGCGAACTTTGACCAACTCCGGCAAAACTCCGGCGAAGCTCAAAAATACTTTAATCAAGTTCCTAAAAAGGTTTTAACATCATAAAACCTTAATCAATAAAAATAACCTCTAAAAGGTTATTTTCCGGTAAACCGGTCGTTTTGGCTTCTATGTCCGTTTTTGGACATGGAACCACCTTCCAACCCATTATTCCACACTTATAACATGTAGAACACTCCTAAGGGTTCTTCATATGACATATATCTCAAATGATAGAAGAAAAATAAAGGGAAAGTTAGTATAAGGTCATTACCTTAATCTTTCTCACTTTCTCCCAACTTTTTCCCTCTTTAATCCTCCTCTTTGGACCACTATAGCTTGAGCTCGAATTTGGGTGAAGAAATGGTGAATTTCAGAGCTTCTCCTTGCTACTCTTGGGTGTTGGTTCGAGTGGATGGTGATGGTGAGGTGGGGAGATGGTTTTTGTCTCAATTAGACAAATGAGTGGGGTGGAGGTCCACATTTGGTCCTTTCCTACCCAATACATCACCCTCAGCCCCTTTCCTATAATTTACAGCTCTCATTTGACAATCTCAGCACCCAAAAACGTGGGGTGGCCCCCACTCATGTGGGAGGTCATCCCTTTGTGTCCCGATATGTACAATCGGTCCCGAAAGTTGTATTTTTCGGACAGTTTCAAATATATTTTATCTCATCGGGTGAAATAAAATATGTTATGTGTTTCCAATCATTATGACCCTTATAATGAATATACATTCCCCAACTTTAATTTATAAGCCTTCGAAATTCGTTTCGGGCTGTTATCTGTTAAATTACCGATACCGGTATTTTGGCCTTTTTGATCAACCGGTCAACTCTATATCATTTCTTTGGACCAAATAAATTATCCACCATTATATAAATATTATATTGACCAAGATGAATAAAATATACGGTCTCGGGAATATCGGGCGGGCCCCGCTCCCGGTGTGGGTCCCACGTGCAAATTTACTATTTCACGCAAAAGAATTATTAAAAATTCACCACTTCGTATATTCATTAACCATTCAATAAGGTTCAATACATTATACTCTTAAAAGTAAATACATTTGGGGACGGTGTTACAAGTTCACCCCCCCTTATTTGGGATTTCGTCCCCGAAATCCACGTGTCTAATCGAAAAGAAACGGGTATTGCTCCCTCATTGAGACTTCAGTCTCCCAGGTTTCTTCTTCGACTCGATCACTCCTCCAAAGAACCTTTACCATAGGAATCTCTTTGTTCCTTAGTTTCTTCACCTGTTGACCCACAATCCTTATCGGTTCCACCGCATATTGTAGATCTTCACGTATCTCCACCGGTGGCTTCTCAAGAATATGAGATGGATCTCTCACATATTTCTTGAGCATCGATACATGAAACACGTCGTGTATTTTCTCAAGTTTCGGCGTCAACTTGAGACGGTATGCCACGGCCCCTATCCTTTCAAGGATTTCAAATGGACCAATGTATCGGGGGTTAAGCTTTCCCCTCGATATAAACCGGATGATACCCTTCCAAGGAGAAATCCTTAGGAAGACCTTATCACCGACCTCGAACTCCAATGGCCTTCGTCGTTTGTCGGCATAACTCTTCTGCCGATCTTGGGCAGCCTTGAGTCTATCCTGAATGACCTTCACCTTAGCCTTGGTGATTTCAACAAGTTCAATCCCTTCGAGCTTGGCCTCGCCAACCTCGTCCCAACACAATGGTGTTCTGCATTTCCTCCCATACAGTGCCTCGTATGGAGGCATGCCAATACTCGCCTGATAACTGTTGTTATAGGCAAACTCAACTAGAGCCAAATGCTTGTCCCAACTTCCTTGGAACTCCAAGGCACATGCCCTAAGCATATCCTCTAGAATCTGTATCACTCTCTCAGATTGTCCATCCGTCTGCGGATGAAAAGCTGTGCTAAACTTCAGTTTAGTACCCAAAGATGCTTGAAACTTGGGCCAAAACCGAGATGTGAATCGTGGATCCCTATCCGAGACAATGGATATCGGGACTCCATGTAGTCTCACAATCTCCTCCGTGTATAGCTTTGCCAATCTTTCAAGAGGATAAGTAATGTTGATAGGCAAAAAGTGTGCACTCTTGGTGAGCCTATCAACCACTACCCATACCGCGTCATAGTTGTTCACTGTTCGTGGTAGCCCCACCACGAAGTCCATGGTCACATGCTCCCACTTCCATTCTGGAATGGTCAGTGGCTGCAAAAGCCCTGCCGGGTGCTGGTGTTCTGCCTTAACTTGCTGGCAAGTAAGGCATCGACTTACGTACTCTGCGATGTCTCTCTTCATACCCGACCACCAGTAACTCTCCTTCAAGTCTCGGTACATTTTAGTACCTCCTGGATGCATAGCATATGCCGAAGAATGGGCCTCCTCTAGTATGGACTTTTGGAGCTCCTCACTCTTTGGTATGCATACACGGTCTTTAAACAGTAAAAGACCGTCATCACGTACCCGAAAGTTCTCCACGGGCCCTTCAAGAATCCGCTCGCGGATCTTCTGGCATTCCTCATCAGTGTCCTGACATCTACTGATCTCACCCAGCAATGTAGGCCTAACCTCGAATCTAGCAATGAGGACCCCACTCGTGGACACCTCCACCTGTGCCCTCAAAGTTCGTGGACATGTGAGTAATGTGCCTGACGTACTCTTCCTGCTCAGTGCATCGGCCACTACATTGGCCTTTCCGGGATGATAGTCGATGATCAAGTCATAGTCCTTGATCAATTCCATCCATCTCCTTTGCCTCATATTCAACTCTTTCTGAGTGAATACGTACTTCAAGCTCTTATGATCGGTAAAAATGTGACATGTCTCCCCATAGAGGTAATGCCTCCAAATCTTCAGTGCAAACACTACCGCCCCCAACTCTAGATCGTGGGTAGGGTAGTTCGCCTCGTGTTTCTTCAATTACCTAGACGCATAGGCAATCACCCGACCGTTTTGCATTAGTACGCATCCAAGCCCTTGGATGCTAGCATCACTGTATATGTCATACCCTATCCCTTGTGTGGGTAGAGCGAGAACCGGTGCTTCCGTAAGCCGTTTCTTTAGTTCGAGAAAGCCTTTCTCACAATTGTCGTCCCATATGAACTTGGCCCCTTTCTTCGTGAGCTTTGTCAGTGGAGACGCCAATACGGAGAATTTTTCAACAAACTTACGATAGTATCCCGCTAAGCCAAGGAAACTACGTATCTCTTTCACATTTTTGGGTCTCTCCCAATTCATAATGGCTTCTATTTTGGCTTTATCCACCGAAATGCCCGAACTTGACACGACATGCCCGAGAAACCCAATCTCTGTGAGCCAAAACTCGCATTTAGAGAACTTGGCGAAGAGTTGTTTTTCCCTTAGCCGTTCAAGTACAAGACTCAAATGATCTTCATGCTCCTCTTCACTCTTGGAGTACATCAAAATGTCGTCAATGAATACTATCACAAATTGATCCAAGTATTCACTGAACACACGGTTCATCATGTCCATGAATGCCGCCGGTGCGTTGGTTAGACCAAACGACATCACCAAAAACTCGTAGTGACCATATCTAGTGCGAAATGCACTCTTAGGTATGTCACTCTCCTTTATCTTCAAATGATGATACCCCGACCTTAAATCAATCTTCGAGAACACTGTTGCCCCTCGAAGTTGATCAAACAAGTCATCAATCCTCGGTAAAGGATACCTGTTCTTGATTGTGACTTTGTTCAACTGTCGATAGTCTATACACATTCTTAGTGTACCATCTTTCTTCTTTACGAAGAGTACGGGTGCTCCCCACGGTGAATGACTGGGTCTAATGAACCCGTTGTCCAATAGCTCCTGAAGTTGAACCTTCAACTCTTGAAGCTCGGCCGGTGCCATTTGATGAGTGTTTTCTCGCACTTAAAAAGATTGTAGAATAGTGGTTGAAAGTACGAGTATCGTCTCCACAGGGACGGACAAAAGGGAATTAAAGATTAACTAAATTCAGCGATTAAAAAGAAATAAAATAAATAAATGCAAGTGTGCGAGATTGATTGGTGAATTAATATTAAACTAATGAAGATGAACGATTAAAATAAAAGTGGTTTCTTCTCAATTAACGACGAAGGGAACAGGGATTGATTCCGGGGTAACCAGATTTCTGGCAGATCAGGCCTAATTTACATGAATTTAATTTAATTGAGCCTAGCTAATCATTACTAAATTCTTACCGCTCTCGCGGCGTAGAGTACAATAATTTAGGGGACCAGGCTGATCTCTCATGCGACAAGATCCTAAATTATTGCCAAGACGAGCGAGCTTACGGCTCCTTAATCGCTACTAATCTCTTAGCGAACGATTAAGTGTGTGTGAATGTGTCCTAGAACAAATTAGATCTCTCTTAATTCATTCTACATGCAATTGTAATTCTAGTGGCCATCTAGGTTACAAGAGATATCAGTTAAATTATTCAGACACAAATTAAACGACATTCATGCAATTAAACCGACAAGAATCTAGCCATCAATCATGATTAACCCCTTCATCAACCCCAAATCCCTAATTAAACTACTCACAATTCATAATTGAAGAATCAACAGAATTGAGATGAATAGAAATAATTGTCATTAATTAAAAAGATGAACTTACAAATAATCCCAGGGTCTTGGAAGAAAATAGCGTAAAAACGGTGTTAAATTCGTCCCTAGGCCTCTCCGTAATGTTTGTAACCCCTCAAAAGGGTTAGAGAGGCCTTATTTATAGAAAAAAGGGGAAAAAACCGAATTTGGGCCGAAATAGGAAATTTCCGCGCGTGTCACGGGGCTACGCACGATCGTGCGTCCCTGCCTATGCACGATCGTGCGTAGCAGGCAGAGGCCTCATCGCGGTTTAGTAGTGGACGCACGATCGTGCGTCCCAGACGCACGACCGTGCGTCTGACTTTTTCGCTCCGTTTTCTCGTTTTCTTGCTCCAAACGTGCCCGGATTCAAACGAGGTCGATCCCAATACTCTTTCTTCATCAAAATTTCGCCGTGAATCACCTGGTGACCTCCAAATCTCTCAATTCTTCCTTGAATGCTTTCTATCTCCTCCCGATTGTCTCTTCAGCGCCGATTGCCGGACTCTAACTTCTTCAAATCATCTCCAAATGCAACGAAACTCGATCCAACGCCTGCTAAACATAACTTGAGCCAAAATTGAGACTTTCAACGCCTTAAAGCCAGGAAAATCATCAAAATCCGACCCGGACACGCATCAAATGCGTGTCTAAATACGGACTTATCAGACTCCCCCACACTTAAGCTTTTGCTTGTCCTCAAGCAAATCGAACAACGGGACTTACGATAATCACCACACGGAATTTAAAACAGTTAGCATACATACGTAGTTAAGGGGATATTCACAGGACAGACAATTTAAATCAAGAAAATTCTTCCCTAAACTACACCTTTGTACTCAAGCTAAACTATTTGACACAATTATTCACAACATCCTCAAAGTAATGACAGCATTCACTAATAAGCTAGCTACTGATCAGAAGGACTTGTGAATTTGATGGTGAATGGATAATAATGAAAGTAGTCCCTTTATTTTGAGAGGTAGGAATATTCTAACAAAGATCCAATGTTTTCAGGAACTTCAGGGCTATTCTTAGAATCAAAGGACTCAGTAGGCCACAATTTAGGAACAATCATTTAAACCTATGCAAAGAGTAGACATGGTGTACAACTAAGCTAAACCGTCTCGGCCCATTTGTGCTTTGACGTATACTTGAAGTACGCGGAGGACTAAAGCTAAATTTTGAGATAGCCTCCAAGTTCATTAATTTAAGTTTAGTTTTCCTTGTCATGTTGGCACGAGAACGCCGTTTCTTTCGAAAGATACCCAAGTCTCATCTTACGCTTTTTGACCAGGGTTCCCATTCTCTTTTTCGCAAAGTAAGAGGTCTAGCTATATTAATTTTTCACCTTTCGGATTCTCACTAGACATTACCCCATTCTAATCTCGGCCTCACCAAGGAAAAATAGCAATTAAAGTTCATCAATTTAAAAGTGAATCCATGCCTACAATGCAATCCTCGAAAGTATCAAATTCCTAAAAAGTGATTGCTCTTACCCCATTTGGAGCATAGGAACAGTGCCAAAAATGGCTCCTACACAAAATTCCCTAAACTTATCAAATTAATCCCTTAATTCCCTAAACATCAGGACTAAGTCAGAAATATTCACGGGTAAGGAAACAGGCCATTTGGCTATGGAGCTAAATTAATTGGGTAAACAAAGAACGGTCAGGCTCAAAATGGCTTCTCCTAAAGGGTCTTATTCAGGTAGGGTGGATGATTAATGAATTAATTCAATGGGTAACTAATGCCTTCATCCTTTCAACAACTAGATTGTAGTGTAAGCAATTTAAGCCTAAATACTTCAAAGATGTTCTAAAAGCATAGTCAAAATGCTAGCCAACTCACAAAGACACAGTTTAAAGAAAAATTTTCAAAAAATTTTGCATGAATTTCATATGAATATACAACTAACACCTGCGCATGCTAACCCTAACAAATCACATGTGACAACTACTGCCCGAATGCCCAATTCACTCCCCCACACTTAAACTTTGGCATCGTCCTCGATGACCAAAAATGCATTATGTATTAGGGGTAAAGAGGAAAGGGTCACGCGTGCTCAACATTAACTCAAGTCATTATCACAAAAATAAGAACCAGAGCAACTTCCCTATGGCGATGGTTGGTGTAGAACTCAACTGTGTGAAATGAACTCGGCAATTTCATCCACGGGACTAGTAAGCTGCAATCATCAAAACACAAACAAAATCCAAGAAATACGGAGAAAGAGTAAAGAGTAATGTGAGTGAGTGAGTGAGTGTGAAAGTATAGAAACAGTCATCCATCAAAAATCAGAGAACAGAGGCTAACGGCGAACAATCTACTAAATCACTACTGCTCCGGAGGTGGCGGTGGCTGCTGTGCATCAAAGAACGAACTCCAGCTGGACTCTAAGGATGTGACACGAGTGTCCAACTCCGCGTACTGTACGCGCAGGTTGGAAAACCCGGTCGTAATGTCCTCGTGAATGGTCCGCTGGAGCTCTCTGTGGTAAGTCTGCCTCTCTGCCCGGACCTCCTGAAAGAATGCCTGCTGGTCCGCCCTCATCTGGCGATAAAGCTCCTGCTGTCTCTGTCGCTCTGCCTGAACATCGGCAAAGAAACGCTGCTGACTCTCAAAAAGTGACCTGTGATGGCGCTGCTGACTCTCCCTCCACTCGACATGATAAGCCCTCTGCTCCTCATGCCAACTCGAAAAAGCATCCTGAAAAGCAGGTGGCATGACAGGAATAGAATGAGCAGCATCATGGTCCATAGCTGCTCCTCCCCCCTCAGTGTGGCGCTCCTCATCTGCATCATCAACGTGGCCAGCTGCGCCGCCCTCCTGAATATGGATCCCCGCCTGATGCGGTACTCTCTGCTCTCCCTCAACTGGCTGCTCTGCTAGGCGCCTCCTTCTGGCCACTCCGGTGTTCAGCTCTGGAAGCTTAGTCAACGGCGCATAGTAAGAACTCTCATCCATGTTTACAAAGTGGTCGCCGTAACCCATCCCACGCAGAAGGCAGGTGATGTAGGGTCCAGAAAAGATAGCCTTGATCTTGTAGGTAGACTGACGGTGGAAGAGGCCGGCAATGATAGCACCCATGTGTGGTAGCTTGTTGTGGATCATGCAATAAAGGCACAAAAGATCTGTAGTGGAGACCTTGCCTGCTACCTCGGCCCTCCCAGTGATGGTGGATGAAAGGAGGGAATGGATAACTCTGTACGCCCGTGGATACAACAAGGTGCTAGGGGTGTCCCGGGGGTCATAAGTGCCGCCGTCTCTAGAAATGCTCTCCCAAAACCTCTGGCGGTCTACATCTCGTGGAAAATCAGTCAAGCCTGCTTCATTATCTGCTCTATCCTCAATCCGGGTAAAACCTAAGTGCCACTGGATGTTGTAAATGGATATGGCATGGTCCTCATTGAAGGCCCGGAACTTGATTAGGGGTCGGTGGTTATCGGAGAAACTGATAGATCGAGGCACCTTAATTGTGGCCAACACTTCGCAAGTTACTTCTTTGTATGTGGTCTCTCGGATGCCAAAGAAAAGGTGTTGCCACCATCCCCGACGGAGTAGCGTCATCACCTCATCATGAAGCCCAGCGGCTGTCAAGGTGGGCTCATCAGGATAATGAAACGTGCCTACCTCTTTTTTCAGCAAATCGAGGTATGTGATCATTTGTTCGTCCTTCGGGAATTGAGGCTGATATCGGGCACCTGTGGCCCGACTAGAGCTGGTTCCAACATTCTTGGTTCGCTTCTTTGGTGGCATCTGTCAAGATAATTCAAAAACAACAACAACCATTCCAACGGGGCTTCCAAGTATTAGAATAAAACTCCAAATCAACAGTAATAACCCCGTCAGTAATCAGTCATTCAAGAGCATCAACATAATTATCAATCAATCCAAGTTTAACCAGAATAGTTGAAACTTTTGAATTTTTATCAAAGAAAATTTCTTTGAAGTAAAGTCAAATATTTCAACGACACACGGTATAAACAAGGTCACAAGCAAGAATCCTTATCAAAACAAGTGTTAAGAATGGAGTTCCTCCCAAAAGAATTAAAGAGATATTGGATTAGGGGAAGAACTCTCAATTCTCAAATTGGACAAAGTTTGGCCTAAAATTTGGGGATTTATGCTCAATTTAACTCAACAACAAGTATTCAACATCATAATCAACAATTCATTCCTTAATTGAAGCAAGGAGCACAAAAAAAAAACCCCAAATTTATCTGACATTCATCAATTTTCAACCCTAAATTGGCTAAATTAGCTCAAAAATTAGGGATTGCAATCAAAAGAAATAAATTCATCAATCATAGAATATCAAAATCATCATCACAAGCTTCAATTTAATCATGTGGATGTAAATCCCTAATTTTAGAGCATAAGAATTTGGATTTCTAGAAAAGCTTGGAAAAACCTCCATTAATGGAGAAAAGAGAGGAAAGGAGAAGAAGGAGAAGATACCTTGGAGAAGAGAGGAGAGAGCGGTGGGTGGTGGGTGGCGCGGCGGTCGTGGCGAACGCGGCGGTCGCGGGTGGGTCGGCGGTGCGGCGGCAGGGCGGTGGTCGTGGCTGCTGGGCGGTCGCGGCTGGTGTTCTTCGAAGGGGAAGGGGAAGGGGAGGTTCGTGGAGCGAGTAAGGGGAGAGAAGGGGTGGGGTTGGGTAATGTTTTAATTAAGGGGTGGTTTAGGGATTTTGGGACGCACGATCGTGCGTAGGGGGCGACGCACGATCGTGCGTCGATGGCAGCAGCTCCCCGCGGTTTCAAGTGTTACGCACGATCGTGCGTAGGGGGGGCGCACGATCGTGCGTCGATGGCAGTAGCTCCCCCGCGTTTCTTTCTTTGACGCACGGCGTGCGTCCCAGACGCACGACCGTGCGTCCGCACGAACAGATTTTTTTTTTTTTTTTTTTTTTTTTTTTTTGGGTTTTTTTTGAAAAGCAACAAAACTAAACTAAAACAAAAACAAATTAAGCTCGGGTTGCCTCCCGAGAAGCGCTATTTTTAACGTTGTTTGCCCGACGCAACTACGCACTCATCTCCCTAAATTCGTGACAAAGGTCACCTCACGCTCGCGTTCTAGCTGTCCTCCGTAGTATTTCTTCAGGTGGTGGCCGTTAACTTTAAAACGGCCCTTCTCAGGATGATCAATCTCAACAGTTCCATACGGAAAGACTTCGCTCACTACAAAAGGACCGGACCACCTAGACTTCAACTTTCCTTTAAAAATCTTCATTCGGGGATTGAATAGCAGAACTTGATCCCCCTTACAAAACTCTTTTCCTTGCTTAATGTGCCGATCATGATAGGCTTTGGTACGCTCCTTACTAATTTTAGAGTTCTCATAGGCCATAAGCCTCCACTCATCCAACTCATTGAGCTTCCAAAGCCGTTCACGACCCGCCAAAGACAAATCCTTATTCAACGTTTTCAAGGCCCAGTAGGCCTTATGCTCTATCTCTACCGGAAGGTGGCATGCCTTCCCATAAACCAAGTGAAACGGAGTAGTGCCAATGGGTGTCTTATACGCTGTACGCAGTGCCCACAGCGCATCATCTAGCTTATCAGACCAATCCTTCCTATGGGTCTCAACGGTCTTCTCAAGGATGGTCTTAATGTCCCTATTCGAGTTCTCAACTTGGCCACTAGTTTGGGGGTGATAAGGGACGCCCCCTTTATGAGTGACCCCGTACTTTGCCAGAAGGCGAGTCATCGGGTCATTCCTAAAGTGGGTACCCCTGTCACTTATCAACACTCGTGGCACTCCAAACCTACAAAATAACTTCTTCAGAAAACGAATCACAACTCGAGCATCATTTGTGGGCAGAGCTTCAGCCTCAACCCACTTAGAGACATAATCCACAGCAACCAGAATGAATTTATTACCTTTAGAACCCGGGAACGGTCCCATGAAGTCAATGCCCCAAACATCAAATACCTCACACGCCAATATAAAATTCTGGGGCATTTCATCCCTCTTGGTAACCGGCCCGGTACGTTGACACCTGTCACATTCCTGCACAAACGTTAGAGCATCTTTAAACAATGTGGGCCAGAAGAAACCACATTCCAACACCTTACGAGCTGTCCGGTTAAAAGAATAGTGTCCCCCAGTCGGTCCGGAGTGACAATGTTTGAGAATCTCAACTCCTTCGCTAAGAGGAACACATCTTCTAACAACCTGATCAGCACAAATACGAAACAAATATGGTTCCTCCCAAAAATAATATTTCAAATCAGCAAAAAATTTCCTTCGTTGATGAGGTGTATAATCAGAAGGAACAACACCCCCAACAAGATAGTTGGCGATGTCAGAAAACCAAGGCACCTCATCAACGATCCTCAACAGTCTCTCATCAGGAAAAGTTCCCTCAATATCTCTCTCACTCAGGGAATCAAGAAAGGGGTTTTCTAACCTACTCAAGTGATCAGCCGCTAAATTCCCAGCCCCTTTCTTATCCCTAATCTCAATATCAAACTCCTGGAGTAGTAATATCCACCGAATCAATCTAGGCTTAGCATCCACTTTTTGCATCAAATATTTAAGAGCAGAATGATCGGTAAATATCACTACCTTAGACAAAATCAAATAAGGACGAAACTTGTCAAGAGCAAAAACAACAGCAAGCAATTCTTTCTCGGTGGTAGTGTAGTTTTCTTGGGCACTATCGAGAGTTTTTGAAGCATAAGAAATAGGCTGAAAATGTTTATCTCGACGCTGCCCAAGAACGGCTCCTACTGCAAAATCACTAGCATCACACATAATCTCAAAAGGCAAAGACCAGTCAGGAGCTACTACCACCGGTGCCTTGACCAGTTTCTCCTTCAAACACTCAAAAGCCTCTAAACACTCCTTTGAGAAGTCAAACGGTGCATCCTTCTCAAGGAGCTTAGTCATGGGTCGGGCTATCTTAGAAAAGTCCTGGATGAACCTACGGTAGAAACCTGCGTGGCCTAGAAAACTCCTAATGGCACGGACCGAAGTAGGGGGAGGTAGTTTAGAAATCACATCAACTTTAGCCGGATCAACCTCAATCCCCCTACTTGAAATCTTATGCCCTAGGACCACTCCCTCACTAACCATGAAGTGGCACTTCTCCCAGTTAAGTACCAAATTCACCTCTCGACACCTAACCAGGACTTTCTTCAAGTTCTCTAAGCACTCATCAAAAGTATCACCATAAACAGAAAAGTCATCCATGAAAACCTCCATAAACTTCCCAATGAAATCCCCAAAAATAGCAAACATGCATCTCATAAAGGTAGCAGGGGCATTACATAATCCAAACGCCATCCTCCGATAAGCAAAGGTACCGAATGGACATGTAAAAGTGGTCTTATCCTGGTCCTCGGGGGCTATGGGGATCTGGAAGTATCCCGACATCCCGTCAAGAAAACAGTAAAACTTATGCCCTGCTAGCCTCTCTAAAATCTGATCAATGAAGGGGAGGGGGAAGTGGTCCTTCCGGGTGGCGGCATTCAACCTTCGGTAATCAATGCAAACCCGCCATCCGGTGACCGTACGTGTAGCAATCAACTCATCTTTCTCATTCCTAACCACAGTCATCCCCCCTTTCTTGGGAACCACCTGGGTCGGGCTGACCCAAGGGCTGTCTGAAATCGGATAAATAATCCCTACATCTAACAGACGGATAACTTCCTCCCTGACCACCTCCTGCATATTAGGATTCAATCTCCTTTGTGGCTGCACTACCGGTTTAGCATTATCTTCCATCAAAATTTTATGAGTGCAGAAAACGGGACTGATTCCTTTCATGTCAGAAAGTTTCCGGGCTAGAGCTTCCCTTTGTTCACATAGTAAGTCAAGACATGCAGATTTTTGGGATGGCTCAAGCCCGGATGCAAGAATAACAGGGAGGTCAGAACTATCATCTAGAAACGCATACTCAAGGTGGGAGGGAAGATGCTTTAGATTTAATGGAGAAGGAGTAACAATAGAAGAATCAGTCTGACAGTCTTCCTCCTCCACCTTATCTAAGTCATCTTCCTTCCCCTTCACATCACTAGCATCACTTGAGTCCTCCTCCCCATCAAGCATAAGACAATCAAAACTGGGGAGGAGCTCAAGATCCTCTGCTGACAAACTATCGTCCAAAAGAAGATCAAAGAAGGCTTCATCAGAAAGCATGTTAGGAATGCAATCCTCCACCAAAGAATCAACCACATCCATGTAAAAACACTCACCACTATCTTGACAGGGCCTCTTCATTATTTTGGACATGTCAAAGGTGGCAGACTCATCCCCAACGCGGAGAACAAGCTTACCGTCTCCAACATCAATAAGTGCACGGGCAGTTGCCAAGAATGGTCTGCCCAAAATCAATGGTACCTCCCGATCCTGATCCATGTCCAAAATAACAAAGTCTACCGGAAAAATAAATTTGTCCACTTTAACCAACACGTCTTCAATAATCCCTTGGGGATATTTGACTGAACGATCGGCCAACTGAATGCACATACGTGTAGGTTTAAGTGGACCGAGTGCAAGCTTTTCATATAAAGCAAGAGGCATCAGATTAATGCTTGCACCCAAATCAGCCAGGGCCCTATCAAAAGTAAGATCTCCTATAAAGCAGGGAATAGTAAAAGAACCTGGATCCTTAAGCTTCTTCGGCAGATCTGTCCGTATCACCGCTGAGCACTCCTCATTAAGCGTCACAGTAGACGCTTCTTCCAGCCTCCTCTTGTTCGTGAGCAAATCCTTCATAAACTTCGCGTACTTCGGCATCTGAGCTAGTGCA